ACCAAAAAATTTTGAGGTTCTAGCACGTTTACTACGCCTAGGTTCCTCTTCCTCATTTTGATCTATCTCTTGCTCTTGTTCTTGATCATGTTCTTGATCCTAACTAGTAATAGCATCATGAGATCTTTTGTTAGTACTAGTCTTTTGTCCAGTTCTATTTGGAAACACATGTTCAAAGAAAGACGTATTCCGAGATTCAATAATAGTATTTACATGCATTTCGGAACGTTCTGACTTATGAATCAAAAACCGATATGCACTACTATTTTTGGTATAACTAATGAAAATGCAATCAACGGTTTTAGGATCTGTCTTAATTTTTTTGGGACTAGGAATAGCCACTTTAGCTAAATACCTCAACACTTTTAAGTATTTGTAGGATGGTACTTTCTCATGCCACATTTCATAAGGTGTTTGATTTACTTTCTTTCGGGGTATTTTATTTAAAATATAATTAACAGAAAGTATTGTTTCCCTCCATAAGTTCTGAGGTAATCCAGAACTCATTAACATGGCATTTATCATTTCTTTTAAAGTAATATTTTTTCTTTCAGCAATTCCTCTTTGCCGAGATGAGTAAGGAGCGATGGTTTGATGAATTATTCCGTGCTTTTTACAAAACTCACCAAAAGGTGATTCATATTCACCACCTCTATCATTTCTAGGTTTTTTAATTTTCTTGCCAAGTTGATTTTCAACTTCATTCTTGTATCGAATGAAAGTTTCCAAAGCTTCATCCTTGGTTCGAATTAAATAAATATAATTATATCTAATGTAGTCATCTATAAAAATGATAAAATATTTTTTCCCACCGCTAGTTTGAATTGATTTAAAATCACAAATGTCACTATGAATTAATTCAAGTGGTTCCGTACTTCTTTCAATTGTATGGAAAGGAGTTTTGGATAATTTTGCTTCAAAATTCTATATTAATTAATCTACACAAAGATCCATAATTAACATGTCCTAGTCTACCATGGTACAAATTTGAAGACTCAAGCAAGTAAGAAAAAGATGTATTTTTATTAATAACAGAGGGTATAATAGTCTTTACATTCATTTTGAAAACGCCATCAGACATGTAACCTTTTCCTTCATACATCCCGTTTTTGGTAAGTACGAACTTGTCACTTTAAAAAACTAGCCTAAATCTATTTTTACTCAACAGAGATCCGGAGGCTAAATTCTTGCGAATATTCGGTACATGCAGCACATTGTTGAGAGTGAGTTTCTTTCCTGATGTCATCTTCAGAATAATCTTTTAGAAGTCGAGGACTTGCCCATAAAAAGTTGTTCACCGTTGTCTACTACAGAATAAGATGTGAATATCTTTTTGTCGGCACAAATATGGCGAGTAACACCAGTGTCCACTCATCATTCTTTAGGATTTCCAACAAGGTTTACCTCGAAAATAACTGCAGAAGATTTATGTCGTCTACACCATTGGAAATTTTATCTACTTCGGTCATATTGGCTTGAGCAATCTTCTTGCTTGATTTTCCTTTGCCTTTGCGTAAATCAATTTCTAAGAACTTCTCTGGCTTTTCACCCTTATTCACTGGCATAGTCATAACATGAGAAAGGGTTCATGTAATTGCAGCCACCATACCAGTACTGGTTCGAACATTAGTTTGACCAGTTTCTGTAGCTATGAATTCTAAATTATAAAACAAAATTATAATTTGAATTTTATACTACACAGAATATTTAAACCAAAACCACAGAATTAAATTCTGTAAAAATAAAAGAAACAAGAATTGTAACTTTTATTTCCAATTAATTTGAAAATAAAATAAAATTTTATTTAAACAAATTAATTCTACACAGAAAATTAAATTTTTGTAACACTTCAAAAATTAAAATACTGAAAACATAATTTTAATTAATGAACACTTAAAAATTATTTTTAAAACCAAAATTAATTTCTGACTAACTTCACAAATAAATATTCTGAATTGTTAATGACTACTAGTATATTACTACTAGTTGTCAAAGAAAATAAATAACATATTACTACTATTTGTTTTTCCAACCAGAATATTATTTTGTAAAATCACAGAAAATAATTTATGTTAGAAGAAGAAAGAGAAAAGGAAATAAACGAAAAATTATGTATAAACAGAATAATTCGAATCTGTCTTAAAATTGTTTGAACAATCTTCTGTGTAAAATAAATAATTTGAAACCAAATCAAACAAATAAAATTAATTGCTTATAGAATTTATTTACCGAACTGAATAAATATTTAAAAGATCAAGTCGAGTGTGTAACACTCTATCATTAAGACAGATTCACCTCGCTACGGTACTTACGGAACAATGGCATCTATATCCCAAGATTTATGATCTTCACAAATTGTAGTAGCACTCCAAACAATTTGTACAACAAACAAAAACCTGTGTTATATACTCTCTAAATTTTTCCTAAAATAATATGAAGAATAAATTGATGCAAAAGAGCAAAAGGAAAGCAAGAAGATGATTTTCGAAAATGAAAAAAAAATGCTAGAAGATGGTTTGTATTTATAGGGCCGAACAGGTATGATTTCAAACCTGAATAGGTATGATTTCAAACTGGAACAGGTACAAGATCTGTTTGAACCCAGTTTGAATCTGTTCAAATCTGCCTGGGCAGATTTAAATCTGTTTGGAAATAACTGAATCTGTTCGGTGCAAACAGGTTGAAAAACTGTTTGGACTGGTTGAACCTACTGGAAATTGGACCGGAGAAGGGTTTTGTTTGGACAGAAAAAATTGACGCAAAATTTAAATTAATTTCATTAAGAAATTCAAATAATTTTCCCACAAGAATTTGAAAATAATTCAAGTAAATTTATGTTTGAACCGACCCGACCCACGACCCACAACCCACACCCAACACGGCTCGGCTCGGCCAGCCGGACGACGACAGCACGTGCACGTGTGTGGTGGTTTGAGACAAGGTTCACATTGTCCATAACTCCTCCCTTCTACAAACTTGAGGTGCCTCTTGGGGCCCAACCCAAGTGTTGCCATCTATAACTTATATACACATATAAGTTCTCTTAAGTTTTCAATGTGGGACAACTCATTTCAAGAAACTCACATTCGCTTCTTTAATTATCCATTCCACAAACCAGAAAACGACGGCAACTTTCCATTCACTCATAAATGCTTTTGACGAACCGTTTTCACCGCGTGACTTGCCATACAATAAAGAATACGTCACCTCTTTGGACCTACTCCAAAAGACGTTTGGGACCCCCTTAAATTTGGGATCAAAGTTGACCCAAAATAAGTCTATAAAAATCATAAATTCCAACAGAAAATAGTGTAAATGAACCTAAAAGACAAAAAATGAAATTACATTTTCTTCTCACTTTCTTTTTTCTTGTGTTTTCCATTATAGTCAAATAAAAAATGAGATTACATTTCCTTTTCCCTTAGTATTTCTTTCATTAAATCTTCTATCCAAATATAGCCTTAAAGTCGGCTCATGACACTAGGACGAGTTTGCACGTAGTGTGACTTTTAGATTTTGTTTGTT